TGATATCCTCTTTTGTTGCCAGTTCAGAGAGTCCAGGTGGTTGAGTATCAGATTGTTCCATCTCGTTTCCCTTTGGGGTTGCTGTAGGTGATCCAGAAGTCTGCGTTCTGTTTCTGGATACTCATATTTTATCCAAAATTTGGGCGAGTTTTTCGTTATTTTGTTGAGTAGATTGTTGAGTAGGTTTTCTGTTCCCTTAGTCTAAACCTGGATACCCTATTCTACACCAAAACAGGTTCCTAAGTTTGGTTTTTTAGCCATGTCCCAGGTCTTGGATCTTATGTCTATAATTTCTTGGTGCTTGAATTTGATAGTTCATGGCTATCTTGAAGCTCTGAAATTCTGTCTTCTGCTTGATCCAGCCTATTTGTGAAGCTTTCAACTGAATTTTTGATTTGGCTTATTGAACTTTTCATTACCAAGATTTCTGTTTGACTCTTTTTCAGAATCTCTGTTTGTTGAATTAGTCCTTGATAGCCTGCTTTGTCTTTCTTCATTAGGCCACTTGTTTGCATCATCTTTGGCATCATTGATTATTTTAAAAATCAGTCTTTTGAGTTCTTTGGCATTTCATCTACTTCAGTATTTTTTCTTTCAGTTATGACAAGTTATGGACCTTTGAAAGAGTTATAGTGTATTTTTTTATACTTATATTTCTGTGCTGAGATTTGGGCATCAGTTGGGATGAATATTTTCCAGTTTTATGTGAAGGTCTTAGTGTACAGCCTTGTTTTGAGAGAGTGATTCCCATCACATCCCCATCACTGCTCAGAGTGATGATGACACAAAGACAAACCTGGTATTGACATGCAGTAAAAACCAATTATTAGCAACAACTATACCATCATTAGCAATAGAAAAAATCAATAATATAAATTGAAATGCTGAAAATTCATAAAGGTTAGTAATAAGTAATAGTAATGACAGTGGGGTTGGAGAAAAGGAAAAATGAAAGAAGTAAAATTTAGAAAAAAAAGGAAAGTAAGATAGGAAGAGAGAAGTGAGCTATGGATCCAATTAACGAACAGAGTAAATAAAATTATGTAAAAGTCTTGGAAAACAAGGAAGGAAAAGAAAAGATAAAGAAAGGGAAAAAGGAAGAAAATAAAAAGAGGAGAAAAAAAGTAAAGAAAAAAGAAATATGGATCCAAAAAAGTCCTTTACACCAAGGAGTTGAATAGGTAAAGTTTCTTTCCAGACCTACAGTATTTGAGTCCACCGGTATCTTTGCTTTGATAGTGAGTTGCAACTAGGACCTATTTTGTTTCTACCCACTTGATAGATAGGCCATTTCTGTGTGAAAGCTGAGTATGGCCTGTACTTACCCTCTGTGAGGGATCATTCAGTGGTATGTTGTATGCATTATGGCTGTTGTAATTCCAGAGACTTTTACAGTATGTATATGTTCTTGTATGCACCCTGCACCACTGCTATCCTCAGTGGCTTTGGGCTTGTGAGCTGCTAAGTTGCCCTACTTGCTCCAGAGGTTCCTCCTAGGATGTACTCTGGGATGTGGCAAATGTCTAAGCAGAAGTGTATCCTTGAACACACTGGCACTTGGGGCAAGCAAAGAGACCATTGATTTCTGTGCTGTAAAGGGGCAGTGAGGGGAACTAAGTAATCCGCTGCACTTGATCCCGATGCTTTCGGACTCAGCCCCCACCAAAAACCACATGTAGGCGTGGCTCCTCACCATGGAGAGAGGCACTGCCAACCATCTCTGCCTTCCACAGCCTGAGCTCTCTACTGCTCAAACTTCTCAGGGCATCTATGATGAGCCCTCCACCTTTCGACTATCTTTTTTGGCTGTCTTCCTGCCAGTCACTGCAGCAAGGTGTACGTAGGAACCCTGACGTGTTTGTTCTGTGACTTCTGTTCCCTGATGCAGCTCAGTCTCAAACAATCTGCCCCTCTATCCAAATGGCTCCTGGAATACCACTCCAAGGGATGGCAGATACTACGATAGATTTCTTCTCCAGACCTAGCCTACCATGTGAAAGGAGTCACTTTCATGGTAAATATGCAATAAATTTGCAGCTTATAACAACCCAGTTTTTACTTGAGCTAATATTCTGGTCTGTTGCTTACCACTGGGGCTGCCATCCCTCTCTGGCCTCATCTTGTGCTTACAGACTCAGTTTCGGGTGGACTTTGCATCCTCCTCTGTTCTTTTCTATGCTGCCTTTCTGTTTTCATGATTTTACCTTTTCTTATCAGCTCTTTCTTGATTCCTGGAGCTCTTCTCTTTCTCCTTCTTCAGTAGCACTTTTCTAGCTGTCTCCATTATGGGTCACAGAGAGGCTGTGATAGCTGCCTGCTTCTTTCTGCCATCTTGATCTCTTGATCCTTTTTAATTTTGCAATTTTAAATACAGTTGCCCTGTTTAAGTTAAGCTAAGTTGATAACCCTCACCATGGGCACATCAGACCCATTGCTGCCAGCTGGTGTGAGGTGAGATGAGGTAGTTGCGGTAGTTGTTTTGGGCTTTGCTGGAGGTACAGCTTTTGGCAGATTGGGTCACCAGTATATTTATTTTTATGTGGTAGTTCCATATACCTCTGTTTCTTTAGTTTGTTGTATCATTGATTATGTTCCAACTTTAAAAATTGGTATTAAATATTTGTCTCACATGAATATATGATCTTCCTTGTAAAATATGTTAAAATTCCTATTAGGGCTAAAATTCTTCTTTTTACCCCTTTAAGATCCTTAAAGCCTCACCGGCCCCTTCTTAAAAAAATTGTTTTTGACCTTTAATTCCAGTTCCTTTATGTATATAATTATACTTATAAGCTGGATTGATTTCTGGTAATTACTTACATACAAAAATTGTACCACGAGAACTTTTTGTAGAATTACTTTTAGTGTGTAGTTTTAAATTATTCTAATAAATTATCACATTTAATAGTTTTAAAATTCCTGTTAGTCTGCAGTATTTCTTGGATATTTTTCTGTTTAACACACACATACCTGTTTTCTAAACTATATAATAGATTTTCTTATGGGTGTTAGCCATTTACCGTTGTTTTGCTATTATAAACAATAGTGTCATGAGTACTATTTGAATGCTGCTTTAGCAAATAGGGCTGATCCCAAGAAATACAGTTGCTCAGTCATAGGGCCATGGACTTTCTAAGTTTTAGAAGATGATGCCAGTTGTTTTCCAGATAGCTGTTTTAATTTATATTCCTAGAAGCTGTACATGAGAGTAGCTTTCTATGTGTATGTGGTACCTGGGGATTGAACTCAGGTCTTTATGCATGCTAGGCAAGTGCCTTACCCCTCCCTAGCCCTTTCTTGTTTTATTTTGAGACAGGGCTTTGCTAAGTTGCCCAGGCTGGCCTCAAACTCGAGATCCTCCTGCCTCAGCCTCCTGAGTAGCTGGGATTACAGGTGTGTGCCACCCCACCTGGCTACAAGTAGCTATTTCTTTTCACCAACACCAACCCAGGATACTATTAAACCTTAAAATTTTGGATCAACTTGTTTAAAAAAATGTCTCATCATTTTAATCTCTTGGTTAATGGGGAGATTATCATTTCTTATGTTTTTGGCCCTTTGGATATTGTTGGTGAACACTGCATTTCACTTACTGATGCACTGTGATGTATTAGTTAAAAATAATACCTTCCTCATTTTATTTTGAGAAATCTTTTGATTTCTGAGTTTTTTACTCAAGCTAACCTAATTAGATTTTGGTAGTAAGAATCCCAACACCTAGAATGTCTTTTGTTCTTCATTTTACTTGCATATTTCCATTTTTAAGACAGTTGCCATAAATTTGTTAGGTACTCTTAGGAGGCATGATTATTTTCTAGGTTTAAATATATTGAACCAGCTGGATGATTTTGTCATAATAAGATAACTTTCACTTTTTTCCTCTGGTAACATGGGGATTATACAGAATAATATTTATTGTACTCTGCAAAAAGTGGTTGTTTTAATAGCTTTTTGGAGTACCAAAATGGTTATTGAAGTGATATATTTTTTAAGGTATAGGCTACTTTGGTCAAACTGTCCAGAGTTGGATGAAAATGGAATATTTTTACTTTAAACACATTGCTCAGCCACTAAAACCATGGGCATATCTGCAAACATGAATGCTATTGTTGTGTAATTGTGTAGAGTTTTAAAAGGAAGGAGAAAAGGAGGTAGTTAAATCATAACTTAGTGAATTTTCTTTCATCTGGTAATTTAGTTTCATGGTATTGATAACCATGTCTGAACAATTAATGTTTAACCAGTGCCTTTTTTTCTGTACAGCCTAGTTTTATTCTTGTTTCTTGCTTTATATTGACATAATAAAAAGAGAAAATAAGAGCATGAAATAAAAGCCTCATTAGAATTTTCAGTTTTTATCATATATTCATATATATATACATATATACATATATTTCTATATTAAAGATGTTAGACTGTTTTATTATTCGGCATGTTGTGATTTCACATAGCTTTGATTTCCCAAGACTGGATCAACACAATTTAGATATGTAATTAAGACATAAGATTTTACTTTTCATAAATACCATAAAGTAAAAATAGCATTAATGAGTTTCTTAATGTTCTTTTCAGATAGTAGTTTTTTCTTCTGTACATAACTCTTAAAAGTCCTTTGGTTTCTAAATCTTCACTAAATTTTATTTTATTTTATTTTTATTTTTTGGTACCAGGGATTGAACTTGGGTCCTTGGTGCTTGAGGGGCAGGCGGTGGAACCACTGAGCTAAATCCCTGGTCCTCACTAAATTTTACTATTGGATTTTAAGTCAGTTTGTGGGCCACTGTAGCTGGATAAAAAACAGGTTGATTTCACATTATAAATGAAGTGATACTGATGTTAGAAACACATAAAATTAATGGATGTTTACAAAATTTTTTTCAGTTCATCCAGAGCAGCTTCCTCCGAGGCCATGGATTACATTAAAAGAACGAGACCAAATTCTGCCATCAGGTATTTTTTCTCATACTTTCTTGAGTTTTCTCAGATATATTTAAAATGCCATTTGTCTCCATGACAAATTAATAGGCTTTCATTTTACTCTCTGGGTAGGTAAATTTGGAAATATTGATGGATAGACTTACAAAATCCACCTTTTGATAGCGAGATGTACAAGTATTTTGTATTCACAGGGGTGCACCTTATGGTTTTAAAATTCTTCCTTGCTAGGCTTGGCATGGTGGTGCATGCCTGTAATCCCAGCATTCGGGAGACAGAGGCAGGAAAATTGCTGCAAATTCGAGGCCAGCCAGGGCTACTTAGTGAGTTCAAAGTCAGCCTGAACTACATGGTGAGAACCTGTCTCAATAAACCAACAAAACAAAACAAAACAAATATATATGTGTTCATTCCTTGCTATACAGCTTTCCAAATGGCATCTTACCATATGGTATTGGGTGATTTAATAAAAATGAGTAATAATTTTCTTCTGAAATAAAAAATTCAAACTACTTTAGTACTTTATCTTTCTTGAGAGGTGGACTGATAATTAATAATAGGTTAAGTTAATAGTGCTCGCAACAAAATACTCCAATTGAAGTTTATAGAAATGGATAAGGTGGATATCTTGAGTAATTAAGAATATAATCTAGCATGTCTAGAACAGTAATAATGTAGAAAATATAAACATTTGACTTTTTTTAAACATTTGTCTTTTTGTAGTGACTAATCATGGCTTGATATTTATAGGACTTCTTGCTACATATTAGAAATTTTAGATTTGGGAATTCTTCTTAAAATAATTTTCATTTTAAAATTAAACGAAGACTATTTTAGTAGAAGGTTAGATCAGTCACTGGGCATTGCTACTTTAATAACCTTTAAAGGTTAAGTCACAGAATTTATTATATACACCTTGTACAATATAAAGCTCTTCTGTTTTTGACTTTTTATAAAAAGTTAAGTTTTGGTACAAAACATTTGTCATAGTATTGGGAAGTATCTCTTGTAACCTCTTCATGTTTCTGTTTATAATTTTAAAACTGAGAAATAGACAGAACAGTTTTATGTCTACCAGAAGTAATAATTTTAAAACTACAACACTGTAGAACCATAGTGTTGGCCTGTTATGAGAGGCACTGTGTCATTGTTTTATAGCACTTCCCCTATCAGGGTGCACATTGATGGTCTAAAAAAGGAATACCTAAGGTTTTCTGCAAAGCCTTGAGTTAGGTAGATTTATTTTGTACTTCACTTTCCCTAGTTATTCTCTATTCACTTTCTGATACTAAAAATACCATTTTCTAGATCGTAATAATCCTTTTTTTAACATGAGTAGGCATCATCTTGATGAAATGCTTTCTTAATAGTGAACACCTGCATTTCTATTAAAAGGAACAACAAAAAAGTTTGCACTAGTTGGTGAATTTTCAAAATACATTCTTATGGTTTCCTTTATTGAAAAACTACTAAGGATTTTTCTTGTGACGTTTGGTGCTTCCTTAAGTAGATTCTGAGTACTAACAAAGATAATAAAGATGCTTTTTATTTCTGGTGCATAGGGGGATGTGTTTAATAACTAATGATGGTTAAGAGTGATTTTTATAGCCAAACACTGTAAACTGTGTAGGAATCAAGCCCAGGTCATGAAAAAGGTAACACATAGAAATGGAGTAAAAGAGTAACGATAACAGCAACTTAGCTAGTTTTTACTTCTGTTTAAAAATTGTAGGCCAGTGGTGGTGAACCTACGGCACGCATACTACAGTGGGCTATTTGTGTCATTGAAAGCTCTAAAATGTTTGCCATCACTGTTGAAGGCATTGTACCGATAGATTTTTGTATATACAGTGATAATCTTTTCTATAAAATCTCACTTCACAAAATCTTAGAAAATAGTATGACGGAAGCAAATAATAATGTTTTGCTTCTTTGTCTTACTTCCAAAGGACATTTCAGATCCAGAGAAGCAGAGTAAACTCAGGATTCTCATGATATACTGGGTTGGAAATGGTTCTGGATCAGTTCCAAGATAATCAGAAAATACAAATAACTCAAGCTGAAATTTAGCTCCCAGTTTTCACAATGACCACCAGACAGGTCCCTAGCAGACCACTGAATTGAGTTTCTCTTAATATCTTTCCCATCATCTGAAATGGAACCAACTTAAATCAAGTGTTTCTTCACATTTGATTCCTCACATTTTGTTTTAATAGATGATTCTCAACCATGTCTATTCAGTGTAATCACCTGTGTGTTTTAAAAATGCCTGGAACTTATTTTCCTGAAAGAAGTAAAGACACATTACAGTAATACATGTATACCTATGTTTGTAGCAGTACAATTCATAATAGCTAACTCTTGGAACCAGCCTGTATGTCCATCAGCAGATGAATGGATAAAGAAAATGTATTTATACACAATGGAGCACTACTGTACCATAAAGAAGGATACACTTGTTTGTAGGAAAATGGATATACCTTGAGTGAAATAAATCAAACACACAATCTTAAATATTACATGGTTTTTTCTTATATGAGAAACCCAAAGTACAGTATAAATAAAGAACAAAATAAAAGATAGTAGGACATAGATCTCTTGCAAAAGGTAAGGAGAGCATGAAACGGAGGGAGGGAAAGAGATTGAAAAAAGAATTAAGATGTGTTACATATATTCCCCACAAGGAATGCCATCATTATGTGGACCAACCATGTAGTAATAAAAAAATTAAGGTAGGGAAAAAAAACTACCCAAAACCTAGTACAGTACTTTGATTTAATTAATCTGGAGTCACACCCTTGGTATCAGTCTATTTTTCCTCAAGTGATTCTAATGGGCACCCGTGATAGAGAATCACTGATAAAAATCATGTGTGCACATATGAATTTCCCGGAGGATTTTGTTAAACTGCAGCTTCTGTTCCATAAGTGTTCATGGGGATAGAGACTCTGCATTTGTAAGTTCCAGGGGATTCCTGATGGTTCTGGGCCTTAGAGCACACCTTTGAGTAATAAAGATACAAACCATCTTCTCTGGACTTAGTTTGCCCACAGTCCTTTTATTGTTCAAGGACATTTTAAAATGAGAATTTTATTTCAGAAGTGAACATTTGATTGGAAAAAAAGGATTCCTTTGAAATAAAATTTGTTAGTTCACACTCTCATGGTTCAGAGAAGTAATTGCCCCCCCCCTCAAAGTGTTAAGTATGGATATTTTGATAAGTAATGAGATTAGAGCCCTTTCATTAGAATGAAACCAAAATTTACTTTTTGTTCCATTTCTATGAAAACCTAAATACATAAACATTGGTACTTTGATTTAATTTTGAATTTTTTAATTTGTTAAATTTTCTCAAATCTCAAATATGAACAGTCTAATTCCAGACTACTAAGTTTTTGTATGAGGGAGTCCAATAAAGTTTTAGTAGATATATCTTAACAAAAATCTTAGAGTAACTGTGTGGGGTGTATGTGTGTGTTTGTGCTGGTGTACACATGACAACTGCTTTAGAAAAAGTTGCCTAATTTTTCCCTTTTGTTTGTTGTTTTCTCTCCCACTTCTTAGCATCATTCACGGTTATGTGTTACAATGTGTTATGTGATAAATACGCTACCCGGCAGCTATATGGCTATTGCCCATCCTGGGCATTAAACTGGGAATACAGGAAAAAGGGAATTATGGAAGAAATTGTTAACTGTGACGCAGATATCATTAGTCTTCAGGTAACACTATAGAAATTAAGTTGTCTTTAACTTAAAGGTGAATTTAAAAATAATAGAATATCTTACCTCTAGCAGAGACCCTGTATTCAAAGAAAAGCTCAAAAGGAATTATTTTCTTTCTCTCTCTAAAGAAAAGGACAGTTTTAATAAGCATTTAGGAGATTTTTCACAGTGGAACTATTTTGCTGAGTGCAGCCATGCACTTACATTCATGATTTTCCAAAGTTACAATAATTTTACCCATTATCCATGTTAACATTTCACCTCATGAACAAATCATTGGTATTGCTGACAGAGGAAACTGCAGAAGATATCCAGTCTTTTGGGAATATAAATTTAACTCATTAAGAGTTCAGGAAAAGAAATGCTTGCCACAGTTGCCCACAGTTGGATTCAGTCCCCAGCACTGAAAAAAATGGAAGATGAACAAAGAAAAAAGTATACATTTTTGCTTTACTTTATAAGCCGTCTCTTGATCTTAGCCAAAGGCCAAGAGGTGATATATAAGCCATCTCTTAAATTTGAACTCTTTTTTTCCCTTGGTTAATTTGTGCAGTTTTATTTTAGGGAGATTTATAATATATGTTGGACTTTTCAAAATAATGAAAATAACAGTATTGCTTCCTTTAAAGAGCAGTTAAGGGCTCAGGTCTCCCAGGGGGCAAACCACTAATGAAGGGTCTCTTAAAGGGCTGGGTAGTAGAAGTTACATAACCTGGAATTGGTGATATCACAGTAATAACACTTTGTAATAATGAACTTAACTGAAGAGGAAATAAAAATTTTATGAAATGTGTTTTATCACTTTAATATTTGGCCAATAATGATTAACCAAAAAGATTTATGATAGTTTTAAATAATTTATTCCTAGTGACTTTCAAAGCATATTAAGTGCCTAAGGAAATCTTAATGGAAAAATAATAATTGTATATATGGTATGTAGTGTTATATTTCAATGCATGTGTACTTTGTAGAATGATCAAATCAGGCCAGTTAACACATCCATTACCTCACTTACTATTTCTTAAAGGGGTTTAAAAAATCTTCTGTTATTTCACACATTCTTTTCAGCATATCCTGAGAAGAAATATTATTACTTTTAAATATTTATTTGCTAATAGGGTACCTTGATAAGTTATGTTGCCTAGAAAATAACAAAATATAAAAATCTTCCAAAAATTAAATATTTTTTTGATAGACACAAACTGTCACAGAATTAGGGGGAAGAAACACATAAAATTAGTAGTTACTTTACAGTTTGATTTATTATAGTAATAACAGCTCCATATTCTTCTAAGTATTATTTTAAGGATAAATTGTAATTTAAAAAAATTCTATTACATAAGTAATACTATATTATAAATTGTTCAGTCTAGAAAAGTTGAAAATTTTGAAGAAACTTAAAACATTATTGAGGAAAATACCTATTTCCATGTCCTAAAAATAGTTGCTATTTTTAAAACTTGGGAATATTTTCTTCTACACATTTTTCTATGCACTTACATACTTGTTTACAGACATATTTTTAAAATAAAATTGAGAGCACATTATTGGGATTTTGTGTGTGTGTTTACTGCACTTAATGCATTTTCCATGTTACTAAAATTCTTCAAAACCAATTATATTAATATATATTGATTTGGCTTTTTCCCTACAGTTGGACATTTAGTTGTTTATAGGTTTATGCTGTTATAAAATCATGTGGTTAAGAGCATCTTTATACATAAATTATTATCTTCATATTTATTTCATTTGGAAAGATTTGTTAAAAATATTTATTAAGTCAAAGTATAAAAAGTCTAACTTACTGACTTAAGAGAGGCCTTTGTTGATTGGTATCCAGGAGCTTAATTCCTTAGATTTTTTGTTGTTGATTTTATGTTTCTCACTTTTGGGTATCATTCATATGAACTATGATACAGAAAAAAATTATTTTTAAAAATTACTTCTTTATATGTGAAATTTACTATCCCCTACTACCTTAACCTATTGTATGCTCAACTTACTTGAATTACTAGTCTTGAGGAAGTGAAATCTATTGGAGTGAACTCTACATCAGGAGCCAAGAGACCTGGAATGTAATTCCACTCCTAGCTGAGTGAACATGAGAAAATCATGTTACTTTTTCTGGCTCTTTCATGTTTTAAAAGCTGCCATTGGCAGCTGCTAGCAATAAGGTAAGATAGATAATATCTTTTACATGAATTGTTTCAACTTAATCACACTCATAACGCTGAATATTTTTATGTCTTAATCTGTGTTTACTTCTGTTATGTAGATAACAACTTTTCTTTCATCTTAGGAAGTGGAAACAGAGCAATACTTCACTCTCTTTCTGCCAGCATTGAAGGAGCGTGGATATGATGGATTTTTTTCTCCAAAGTCACGTGCCAAAATCATGTCTGAGCAGGAAAGAAAACATGTGGATGGTTGTGCAATATTCTTCAAAACAGAAAAGTGAGTTAAAGTACAATAGTGTAAACTTAATTATCACACGTTTAAAATTGTCTTTGAGGGCTCACAGGTAGAATGTTTGCCTTATATACATAAGGCCCTGGGTTTGATCCCCAGGACTGCAAAAAAAATGAAAAAATACATTTTCATAAACAAAAAGTTATGAAGCAGTTACTATAGAAAACTTGTGAATGTTTTATTTCCTAGGCTATTTTAGAAGTAAAGATGTATATTGTATTATTTATGCTTTTATTGGAAGATTGCACTTAATGGTAGGAATTGTTGACTTGAATATGGTTTTAGAATCTTCCAAATATATTTTCACATATAAAATATTAGTGTCTGTATAAAATAAAAGTAGTACCTTTTAAGATTAGCAGTAAGTTATTTGGGTATCTATCTGTGGTTTTTCTCTTCTTTTTTCCTTAATAGTTGACCTTTTTCAGAAACATTAATTTTATTAACATTTTCATCATTTTTAATTAACATTTCATACATTTAAAAAATCATTTATTCACGTAATATTTACTGAGCATTTGTTTTTTCACTTTTTTTTTTTTTTTTTTTTGGTACCGGGGATCGAACTTGGGTCCTTGCACTTGTGCTGCAGGTGGCGAAACCACTGAGCTAAATCCCCGGCCCTGAGCATTTTTTTTTTTTGACAAGCCTTGTGCTAGGCATGATAGACATGAAGAGAAAATTTAGTTCCTTATCTCACAGAAAGCTCAAATCCAGTAGGAAAAGATAGGCATGTAGAACAATTACAATATAATATGGCGTGCCTGTAAGAAAGATATGCATAGGTATAGGTAAAGGAGGACACAAGAGAGGCACTTAGGGAAGTGGGAACTTAAAGGATTGCTTTAGAAGGGCAATAACTAAAATGTGTAAAGTCAGAGGTTGAAACCTCATGGTTAATAATTTGGAATTGATAAAATTAGGGAACCTACTTATAGGAAGGCATATACACACTTGTGGCTGTTTTTCAATATTTCCTTGCTTATAATAAAGTCATTAGTATTTTTGTTGATCAGACATCTTAACAGCATGGCTATTTTAAGTAAACAAATTCAGTGAATTTGAAAGATATTTATTCCATTATTTATACTTAATTTCCATGATTTTTAGTAGCAATAATCTCATTTTGGTTAATATTTAGTCCAAATCCTGTAGTATTTGAGGTCAGATTATACTGAATTCTGTAATTTATTATGAATTTTAGAATAAGAATTGCTATTTTCCCATAATGTTTACATGTCAGGCCTTTTCTGATTATTTATATGGATTGTAATTTTTAAAGCAATCTGTAGAAGGAAGGCAATCAAATATCATTCCCGCACCTCTACCTTTTGAAAGTACTTTTGTAAGTACTGTACCACTGAGCTACATCCCCAACCCTTTTTATTTTTATCTTAAGACAGGGTCTTGCTAGGTTGTCCAAACTGACCTTGAACTTGTAGTCTTCTTGCCTCAGCTTTCTGAGTAGCTGGTATTACAGTTGTACACCACCACTCCTGGCTATTTGTAGATGAGAAAACCAAGGAACAGACAGATACAGTAACTTCCTCAAGGTTACACAGTGGTCTGATTTCCTTGTCTATGCTTTTACATAACTGTTATAATAAGTGAAATATTTAGGCATTTTAGCTTCCAGTATTCTACTACTACTTTTCTTAACTATTTAAACATTTTTTTATTAGTATATGCTTACAATACATAATAATTACATTTATTGTGGGCTATTGGTATATATAATATTGTAGTTTTTATAAGGTTACCTCATTTAGAAAGTTTGCCATGAATTTGACATTTGCTACCTTTGTTCATAAACAATTATCTTTGAAATATAATTTTAAAAATAACTGGTAACATTGAGACATCTAATACCAAGCTCATTTTCTATTTTCCATTATTTCTTTCAAGACAATATAGATTTTTATCATTCTCCTCACAGGTTTGAGAGGAAAGATATAAAATTCCTTGATAGTTTATAGAGATGGGTTAAGGTTTTGAAAACATAATTATAGTTGTTCTCTGGGAAACTTTAGAGACTGGGTATTTACAAATTGAGTCTTGAATTATTAAAAATACTGTGAACTGTTTCAGAAACAAATACACAGAAAATATTTAGATGTATATTCTGTTTTTCTTTCCTTCCTCAACTGTTTTTTCCTAAGTAGTTCCATGGACTCCACAACAGATGAAGATTTTGAGTGTGATACATTATTTCATTGTACCTCTTCTAAACTTCTTTCCTGGAATGGCAGGACTATCTCCTATATAGAATAAAATCATTCTTTGTCCTGATTTACCCTTGTCATATTTGCTAACTGTCCATTACAAAACTATTCCGAATTTAACACAAAGTGCATTATCTGCCTTCATTCTTTCTTCAGATTAGAGTCAGATGTTTCTCCTATTTATCTAGCTATGTATGAGTCACTTACTCTTACTAGATCTATTTCTTCATTTGTATATTCTTACCATGTAAGATCTTTGGTGGTGTTTTAGACAGGGTCTCACTATGTAGTTCATGCTAGCCTTGAACTTAAAATGTAGCCCAGACTGGCCTGGAACTCATGGTAGTCATCCTATACCAGCCTCCCCAGTGCTGAGATTAATGATGTGCATACCACATCCAATGTAAGATCATTTTTTAATGTTGTTTACAAAACTAACAGTCAAAAGAGAGCTGTAAAGGAGTGCTTTGACTCTGCAAGCATTTTGAAACACGCATTCTCAAATCAGAGTATCAGATAATTTCTAATCTTCATGGATGATCATTTAATTGTGCATGGAAAATAGTATAGAGTAACAAATAGAAACTATAATTACTGTAATGTTTAGCAAAATACTTATCCATCATGATGAAAGGATACGGTATTGCTTAGTCAAGGCAAGTGCAGATTACCAGTATTCAGAGAATTAGAATGTAATAAAATATTCTACTTCAGTTTTTTTTTTTACGCTGAAAATCAAACCTAGGGTCTTGTACATGCTAAACACATGTTTTACATTGAGCTATACCCTAACCCATCTAATTTAATTTAATTTAATTTGGGGGAATTCAGTAGGTATCTCAAGATTTAGCAGTATTTTTGGTCATTATTGTAAACACCATTTCTGGGAGGTAGTTACATGCATAGAGATTGAAGAAAATATAATTTTGATTGATAAAATACGAGAAATTAGCTTTTGCTTTCTTTTATTTCAAATATTATCTGTAATCCGAAGCATTTTGAATATTGTATAATGTGTGTGAATAGAAACTGAGTTTATAGACAGTTTTTTTTTAGACTCAGAATTTAATTTCTTTTTGCCATGTTTTGTTCAATAGCAGTGATGGTGAACCTTTTATAGCTTTTCATGATACAAACAGCCTACCGCAGCATGTATGCCATAGATTTGCCACCACTGTTCTATACATTGAATTGTTAGTAGAAATGGAGTTTTGGAGACAGGGACATAACTTGAAGTCTAGAACAGGAAAAAATGGAGATGAGTATAGTTACTAGAATTACCTGCTGTTCCTGAGGTTAGCAGTTCTGACCATCTGATCTTGCTTTATTTTAAATGAAAGAGAAAGGAAAAGACGAGAGCAGCAGTTTATAACAGTGTGTCTATGACACTTTCAGGAAGCAGCCTCTCATCATAGGATTGGAAACTCAGGTTGTCATGACACTTAGTCCTTGCTGTATAACTTCGTTTTCTAACCTGCTTCTAGTTTCAGGTACTAGGAAAGACCGAGTCTTTGCTTTTTCTTATATTGTTACAGGTGGTTTTGCGCTTGGGAAGAGGGCTTTCAAAGGTTATAGTATCATTCCAAAATGGTATATTATCTTTTCAAAACACTACTGTGTTATTCCTATCTCATTGGTCTCTCTTATTTCCTTTGTCATAGGTGGTGGTTGCATTTTGAACTTATTTGTGTGATTTTTGTAAAAGAGATTTTCATTTCTGGCTTCATCTGTTAACTTTTCATTAATTCAAGATAGAACATAAAATTATGGCTTTGTTTCCTTACCCTTCAAATACAGATAACAATAACTGTTTCCTGTAAGTTGGAGGTTTCTTATTGGCAGAAATGATAAAATAATATAGATGGTGCTTATACATTTTTCTTCCTTGTTTACCTTTGTCTCTTAAGTTTGCCTTTTCTAGTTATTTTTTGGCACTTTCATGATTATTTAAGTGATATAAGAATATTTTTATAGTACTATATACTAAATATAGACTAAAAACTTTTGGTTTTAAGATTGATCCAGAAAAGGAAGGTATGTATTAACTTTGGAGTGATCATAGTTATCTTTTTGTTGACTATGTATTGCATTGTACCTTTTTGCTTGTAAATGAATTTGGGGTTGGAATATTACTTAAGAACTATTGATTTGTTTAGTTGCTCATAATTGGCATAAACTGTCCTTTGCTTAGCATTAGTGTGTCACATGACAATCCATCACACCACAAGTTGGTAAGAAATTGAGTTAATTCCTTTGTTGGAAGACTTGTTTTGTGTTCTTCCTATACATGAAACACTCAACCTAATATCTTTCCAAGTCATGTAAGAAGTTTTTTTCTTTCTTTCGTCGTCATGTCAGTCTTCATTATATATATGCCTTCTTAGACCCATATGAACTTTTGTTTAGATTTTTCAGAAAAGTGACTATGAAGAATTGTTACCATGAAATCAAATAGCATCAGGAATAGTGCTTATTGCATCTCCATATGAGCCACAGAATATGAATAATAAATGAATTCTAAGTAGCAAAAGACAAGATTTTGCATATTGACAAGACTTTGGTGGTATCAATTAATGACTAAAAAGTAACTATAAACCAATATGTCTTATTCAAAAGAAATATAGAAAGGATTAGGGAAGATACGCATATTTTGGAATGTTTCTGTGAGACACAAGTAGGAACAGTAGAATATATTTGGTTGGGTGCAGGAAAAGAAGGTAAGTAATATTGTTAATGTAGTATAGATTGAATGTGTGTAATTTT